GGGTCATCCCGGCAAGGGGGTTATCCCGATAAGAGGTTTATCCCGGCAAGGGGGTTATCCCGATAATGGGGTTATCCCGGCAAGGGGGTTATCCCGATAAGCACAAATGAGACACTAGAACACGCGTGGCACTGCAGGAAACCCCTCCATACAAGACACCGGAACAGGACTGCAAGAAACCCCTCCGTACCAGCGTTGTGTTGTTAAACCCCCCTCCCAATTAAGCTCGTGCAAAGGTTTTGGTTTTTAAGCACTGCGCTGCAATACRGGCTGATTTCCCTTGCACAGGACAAGCTCCTGTCGCTGCGATTCTGATTTTCCTGGCAAGGAAGATCAATAAAACACTGAGCAGGGCGGGCACGGAAAGAGGAGCCAGAGCAGCTCTCGCCAACTCTATCAGTATCCGCACTGATCAGCTCCGTGTAAAACAAATCAAATTACCYCGCAGCTTCTTGTAAGAACACGGTCACTATGCTTTTTATTTTTTAATTCTGTGTTTAATTATACCGACCATACTTTTTTTCTACATCTGGGCAGAAGTGACTTGGAAAACAAAGATTTGCAGTGTCCTAAAACCGGCTTTCTGAACAGAGGAAATAAATGAGATGAATTTCTCATTTTGTTTAATGAAGAATACCCTTGACATTAGGATAAGGTGCTATAATAGATGCCTTTTCCACGTGATTCAGTGTGAAAGGCTGGAGCTCTGGAGGCTGCAATCGGAGCAGGGGACACTGCTACGCACAGTCTTCCCCATTTGCTCCCCTGTCCCTGCAGTGAACGCTCAGCCTCCGGAGGCCRCGTTGTGCTGTGGTTACTTGCCTTGCAATGCCAAGTCCTATAGAGCAGCCGTTGTGTCTGTAAGTACCGGAAGATTTTTCCCTGATTGAATAATTCTTGAGGGAAAAAAATTGCTTCCTGGAAACCAGAGCCTCCGCGCAGGGCTGAGGTTCCCGAGGAGGCTCTGCCCTGCGTGTTGTTGTCCGGCCGCTGCCGARCGAGGACCGGTGCTTGTGAAGAGCTCGAATGGCACCCAGGTTACAACTGTGCATCGCACCCTGCCCATGGGGACACTCACAGTTGTCACAAGGGCCACCCCGTGCCTGGTGTTACAGATACAGCTACGCCCCGTACTGCACACAACCTCCTTATGTTACCCGCAGCCAAAGGGAAGGTTGCATTATGTCCTCTTTCCAAAGGGAAGGATGGACATTTTTCCATTGCTAAGCCACACTGTGAGGAGACCTGCATGGAGAAAAACAACCCAAATCCTGGAGTTAGGAGACAAGGCACAAAATACGGCTTGTGCACGTGCCTTGCTCCCTGTTCTGTGCAGCGCTTGTTGCAGGAGCGGTCTTGGCTTCTGCTGGCAGCAGTGGGATCTCCACATGCTTCCCACATCTCAGGAGCTCCTTCCCAGAAGGGCAGGATTTAACCTTCGCCTGAGGCCTCACAGGGAGCACACACCATGTTTCACGTGCAACTCCCATATGGGCGTGCAAACAGAAAGCAGGGTGGGAACTGGGGTTGTGAAGCACTTGCATGTCAGCACATGCACCTGAGGGCTCTGAGGCTTCTCTTCCACCTGTTTAGGTGTCACATGAGCAGAGTGTCCCAAGGGACAGGAAAAGGGCTCTGGAGCCCTCTTATCTTCGGTCATTSATGGATGTTTATAGAGCACCGCTGAGCACCAAGCTTTATTGAGCAAATCATAGAAGAGTTTTGTGGTGTTCTGAGGTCCTACCTAGTGTCTCCTGATGGCTCTGCCAAGAGCACATCATGCAATGCTTTTCTTTATGATTTTTGTAGTATTTAACAAGATAAACSTTTTTCCAGCAAGTTTGAGTTAGTTTAGTGCACTAGGACAGGGAAGGATCTGTGTTCAYTATCACCACACATATTGTGAAAACTGAAATCAAGACGAGTCCTCATGGTGGCTCTTTTAAGTCCAAATCGGATAGTGACCCATCACGAAGCCCTGCTCCAGCACGAGGCTCTGATGGATGGACCCTGTCATGTACATGGCCAGCCAGGCACTCACAAGGGGTTTGTTGCACAGACCTACTTGTCTTAAAATCCACCAACTGGACTTTGCAAAACTCACTACACATTAGCAGGCTACTTCATGACTTCCTTGGACCAATGGACATCTCCATTTCTGTGTCACCTGGCACACCTGGTTCACAAATGCAACAACAACAAAATATATTAGGTACAGGTACATTTATTTGTTCCTTTTCTCTTGTGCACACATAGTCCTTGTACTTCAGCCCATGTTCACACCTGGTTTAATGAGGCAGCCAGATTCTCTGTGAGTGTGAGTGTAAGTGCGAGTGTGAGAGAAGGGGGAAGAGGCTGTTGAGGACATTTACGAGTCCAGCCCATTGCTTGGAACAGAGTGCCTGCACTTTCTTATTCCAGGTTTTGGGGAAGCTCTTATCAGAGCTTTGGGGAAGCTCARACATTCAAGCTGACAGACTCAAAGGCAGCGTAGCGGGGTAGGAACATAGATATTTTTTTCTGTCTTGGTAGGAGCAAAAGGCGAAAAAATAATCTGAATCATATATAGAACCAATTTTGAAGAAATTCAAATATATAGAATCGATTTTGGAAGAAAATAAAAGAGAGAGGCTTAAAAATATTGTGATTCTTATTTATTTATTTATTTATTTAGTTGGGCTTTGGTTTCTCTGCTTTTCAATAGAACTTCTTCCATGTGAAATGGTTTGGGAAAGATTCACAAAATCCACTTTTTCTGTGTGCCGCAGGCCAGAGCAAAGCCAGCCCGGCAGCCTCTTCCCCGCAGTGGTACCAGTACCAAGCGGTGCGTCAGTGAGACAGCGGCACCCGCGAGACCCAGGGCCRGAGGTGCAAGACCTTCGTTACTTTGTCGTGATGATGCTTCAAAAAGCTTTTAAGAACTAGCTCTCACAAAACAATAATGGTCACGATAGGCAGCTATTTTTTTATCAATAAATCTCAAAGCCTGTAGGTAGAAAGGCCAATTTAATTATTCCTAGGTAGAGAAAAAAAAGGCACAAAGTGGCAGCAAGCTGCTAAACGGCCTAGTCTAACCCCAAATCTACATCTTCTGTTTTCCGCTCCCCTGCCCTGCACCTTGTAATGATACACACTAAGTTCTGTCCTAAAGCTTGCTGAAATCCTGGGAAGTCTCCCCTTGACCTCAGGTGTCACTGGCTCAGGTGGGAAGGCTCAAGCCCCTCCAGCTCCAGCGTGTCCATGTCCTGCTGAGCTCGCGCTGCTCCAGCAGGAACCAGCCTGTCATCRTGGGAGGAGGTGGATGCAGAAAACCAAGTACTGAGAAAGACGGGCACATCTTGGAAGATGCTTGGACACTGCTTGGAAGGTTTATTTTGAACTCCAGACCATCTGAAGAACCAGGCTTAGCTGCTGCTCTAGCCTTTGCCAGAGCTGGAGCTGAGGAGAAAGAGCAACCCGTTTGCCAGGTGTAGTTTGGCAGTGACAAGGGTCGTGTTCGAGTTGAAGGGACACCTGGTTTAAAAACAAAATGGAAAATGACCCCCCTGTTTAATAGCAGGAGCTCAAGCTGTTGCCCAGARGTCTGGGAAACTGAGCAATGCCACCTTCATAACAAAGCATGAGCAATACTTCCCCACTTGCAAGCCAAGTGCTCAAACAAAGAGTTTTAAACAAATACAACTTTCCAGGTGGGGCTAGGGGGGAGGGAGAGAGAAGCGTTTCAGAATATATCCACTTAGAAATGGTGACTAGCCAGCCGTGGGTGAGACCCCCATCCTCAGGAAATGCTCGCAATAGCCCTTCTTTGTGGCGACAATACGGCTCCCATGCGCGAGGGAAAGGAACTGCTGTGATGGCCATGTCCGTAGGGGGACGTGAGCCAGGCGCYGGCTGAGCTCACGTCCTGCCTCGACGGGATGCACCACTTCAGGACACATGGACACGGAGGTCCCGTCCTGAGCTGCTYTGCGGGGAACCGGCCCAAGTACCCGTTGATGTTTCCTTGCACTCTCCTCCAGCAGACCAGGCTCAGACCAGGCTCAGGACACTTCCTTTGCCCAGCTCCACTTCTCCTTGCTCTGCTGACAGCCCCCCTGCGCACCTTGGCAGTGCCACCGAGAACCTCACTGCACCGCACTGAGGACACATCCCTGAGGGACAGGGCTCCTTCCCTCTGCATGTGCCACCCCTCCTTGCTCATCCACAAGAGTCAGAATTGAACTGTCTCTCACACCTTCAGGTTTCCCTTAATGAAGTGAAGAAAGGAACAGCTAAGGTTCATTAACTCCAGGTCTGATAGCTGAGTAGCTGCATGCTGCTGCACGTGTGCACACACATACACATCTTGTTAAAAACATATATCAGCTCAGGAATAGGGGTTAGATGGGTGGACAGTGAGGTGGATTGAGCTGGATGGCAGAGCCTAGAGGGGGGTGATAAAATGTGTAAGTACCTGAGGGGASAATGTGGGGAGGAAKGGGCCGAACTCTTCTCGGGGGTGGCCATGGGCAACATGCAATGGGTAAAAATTGCAACATAGGAATTTCCATCTCCRTATGAGGAAGAACTTCTTYGCTGTGAGGGTGACAGAGCCCTGGCACAGACTGCCCAGGGAGGCTGTGGAGTCTCCTKCTCTGGAGGTCTTCCAAMCCCGCCTGGATGCCAYCCTGTGCCCCRYGCTCTGRGTGTCCCTGCTGGAGCAGGAAGGTTGGATTAGGTATCTCTGGACTGTGTAGAGACTAGACACTGTCCCAAACAGCTCCTAGATGTACTAGGAACTGTCTAGGGACCGATTTCAGGCAGACTGTGTGCAATTATCCTCTTTTAGAGGCTCGCAGACCTTGCTAGTGCAGAAGCGCCCAGGCCATCATGCCAGTCGGGTGAGCAACAGGACCAAGCTCACAGATAGTAGGTACTAAAGATGCAGCACCCACGGAGGCCCCAAGATTTGGGGGGTACAGTTCAGCACACGCTTTGGGAGACTTTCCCAGCGTTTTATTTTTCACAGTCTGGGTTGTAGGGCTGCTTGTGCCGCTCCAAACCCGCGCCCTGCGGCAGGGCGCGTGCTGCTGAGGGCCTCTGCTCGAGACAGCCCCGTGGCGAACAGAGGAGCCCCCGCGGCAGCGGCGTCCCGCGGGCCGGGCCCAGGCGCTGCCGCCGGCGGCGCCGCGAGCCTCCCGTCCCGCCCACGTCCCGCGGGCCCCGCCGCGGGGCCGCCTCCCTTCCCGCCCCTTCCCCTTCGCCTTCCCCTTCCC